CAAAGACGTTGGTACTTCAAAACATCAGAAATTAGCTAATATCCTAAATCCAAGAGAAATATGTGTTTTTGAGAAAAGTAAAAAGATTTTAGAACAGCCTATTTCTTCTGAGTCTGATAAGAAGAATTTTAAAAATACAGCTGACCACCATTGCATTTTACAGAATGTCACAGAATCAGAAGATAGTGATGTCATCCTTCCCACACAATATACAACTGAGAAATCCCTTCAGAGTAGAATAAAGTCTAGGCCACCCGCAGATAGATCTGAAGATTCTGAAACAGAAAACCCTATAGAAATAACAAATGATGGTGATGATAGAAAGACTGATGTCAGAGAAAGTGGACTAATTTCAAAACAATTAAATCCTAAGAGCGTGACCCTGAAGTCTATTATGAAAAGAAGAGGTAGTAGTGATATTAGTGATGAATCTGATGACATTGACATTTCCTCCAAGTCAAGAGTAAGAAAACAAAGAGCTACTAGTTCTTTGAGGTTCAAGAGAAAAAAGGAAAATAAAAGGGAACTTGACACTTTTTCTAAAACAATGAAGAAAGCAAACCAACTGTATGCAACAGATGAAGATTGTAATTCTCAGGTTATTGATGATTTTTCATCCTTAGATGATGACTTTTTTGTTAGCCACATTGGTTTCTCCAAACAGAAACATCGACCAAATGCTATTAAAGATAAAATTGGTTTCTCTTCAGAATTGCCTAGGCATAAGAAAAATAGCACTTTAGTACCAAGAAAACCTATGAAATTTTCAAATGAGAGCATTGCCAATCAAGAGCAGATATATGAATCAATGGATAAATTTTTAGGTAACTACAGATACTTTCTGAAAACTTTACTTATTTGTTTTGTTAAATAGATCTATAGGCGATTCTTGAATGAGCTTGTGAAATAGCTCTTTACAATCAAGCATTGAGGCACAAATGGGAAAGTGGGTGGGTGGCAGAATAAAGGGAAGACCACCTAGGTCAAGATAGAAAACTTTGTCACCTCCCCCAGAATCCTCTCCATTGCCTCATCTTAATCACAACCCCTCCATCCTCATAAATACTCATTATTCCAACTTTTATAGTAATTACTTTTTTTTCTTTTTTACAATTTTATTACATAAATGTGTATCCCTAGACATAGTTTGGTCTCATTTTTAAAAAATTATATAATCTCTTTTATTCTATAGTATTCTTCTTTCATCCCTTCCATTTCCTTATGATTTATCTGTTGATTTACCTGAGCTATCTATAGAGTTTTCCTCAAGTTGGATTTTGCTAATTGTGTTCTCTAAAGAGGCTGAACATATTCCTCTGCCCTGTATATTTCCTGCCATTGAGCCATATCTGAGACTGTATCAAACTGAGGTTCAGTCCCTTTTGACACGATAAATGTTAGTGTTTGGCAAAACTATGGGAGGCACAAGATATATATTGGTCTCTCTCTATTATCTTAACGGCCATTGATGCTTAATGCCTATAACCATTCATTCAGAATAGCAATGTGCTATTTTCTACTTCTCTCATTTCTGTTTTGTTAGTTAGAATGCTTCTGTAAGGAGATACTTACATCTGCTGTTACTTACCCAGTGCTATAGTTCATATAGAAAAGGCAGGGGAAATACTTAATTCATTTCCTTATCAGTTTTTAGTATAATAAATGGATCCCTATCATCCTTAGAAGGAATGGTCTTTCTGAAAATCATGAATTAATTGACTCAAATACTTTTAATGGGTCTCAATCTATTGCAGTTCATGTCATTATTGAAGCTTAATTGTCTCATCTTTGGGCAACGGGAGCCTTTGGACATGAGCATTCTGGCTCCTGAGACCCTTTGTCATGATGCTCGTAATCTCGGATTGCTCTCTGATATTGCAAAATGTCCCAGGCTCCTCTCATACGTTTCCTGCCCCAGACAAGAAGGCTTGGTTTCTTTTAGCGAGAAAGCATGTTTCAAGATCTCAGTCTTATGCTAGGAATGATCATTGCTACTACTAGCTTGGTTATTATTTTGGGACCTTTTCTGTGGGCAGATTATATCTATGTACATATATACACACACATTTTTATACATATGTTTATATGTTTATACATGTTTACATTTACATATATATTTATATTTACATGTATGTATACATATATTTATATACATATATGTGTATTTTATATATGATTAAATACTTCATGAATTTATATTGATACTCGCATATTTATATGGCTAATTTGAGACGATAGAGCTTTTATTAAACCTCTTATGTATTACATTTGTATACCATTTCCTCTATAATGTTAATTCTGGTTCTTAAGCATATAGGTAATGATTTAATTATAATGTTCCATAATTACTCATTTGTTTTATCCCATATTATATAAAAGTCATAAAAGTAAAAATACCAATAATACTACATTACGATTCCTGAAAACATGCTCTCCCATTTCTCCCTACTTTTAAAATAGATATACTATGTCCACAGTGTTGGAACTTGCAGACATTGTGTTGCAGAATTAATTTGTTCTTGGTTTGCAGGTAACTATACATTTAACGCTCCCCATTAGTCCTTATATCAGTGTTTCTCAAGTCATGTAGGTCTACTGAAGCTTGTTTTCTAGAAGCTCCCTCAGGAAGTACTCATGAGAATAACCTCAGATTTTTGTTGATAACACTTTGTGCCCTTTATACTTAAAAGTCATTTTTGCTAGATATAAAATTCTTGGCTCACACTTTCTTAAGTATTTTAAATATGTAGCTTTATTTTCTTCTGGCATGAAGTGCTGTGTTACATGTCCATTTGTTTGTTTGTTTTTCTAGATGTTCAAAGCATTTTTTGTTCTTTTCATAATTGTCCAGTCATTTTACTAGGTTGTGTTTTGGTGTTTGTCTTAATCAGCTCAGGCTGCTATAATAAGCTACCAAAGATTAAGTTGCCTACCATTTATTTCTCACAATTCTAAGTTTGGGTGACTAAGATCACAATGCCAACATGGTTAGGTTCTTGGTTAGGGCCCTTTGCCTGGTTTACTAACGGCCCCCTTGTTGCTGTGTCTCACCTGGTAGAGAGATAAATCATCTCTCTCCTGTGTCTTCATATAAGGGCACTAATCCCATTCTTTAGGGCCCATCCTCATGACCTAATTGTTTCCCAAAGTCCAACTGCAAATTCCATTGCCCTGGGGTTAGGACTTTAACATATGAATTGAGGAGGAACATTCAGTCCATAGCAGTGTTGGTCAGTATTCTCATAATATAGTTTCAACTTGGGTTTGATTTTAGGAAAACTTTCTTATGCTAGTGTTTTTAGTTACTTGTTTTATTTGTTTGCTTGGCCTTCTTCTTCAGAGACTCCTGTTATTCAAATGTTCACTCTTTACCTGAATTTGTCACATTCTCTCAAATCCTTTTTTATATCTTTTTCATTTCTTTTTTGCTTATCTATTGTGTTCATTCCATCTTATGTTTTTTCTAGTTTAGTGTTTATTTCTGAAATAATTTTTTAAAAATATTTTTTATTGATTTTAGAGAGGAAGGGAGAGGGAGAGAGAGAGAGAGAAACATCAACGATGAGAATCAATGATCAGCTGCCTCCTGCACAGCCCCTACTTGGGATCGAGCCTGCAACCCAGACATGTGCCCTGATCAGGAATCGAACAGTGACCTCCTGGTTAGCACTCAACCACTGAGCCAGACTGGCCGGGCTGAAATAATTTTTTTTAAATTTTGAGTTTTTCCTGAGTTCTGCCACCTACTTCTAAGTTATTTTAATTCTGATTTATGTTATTGGTTCCTGTGTTTTATCATTTTCTTGAACTCTTTTACTTCATTTTGAAGTCAGTTACTGTTTTAATTTGTTTTGTGAGCACATATATCTGGCATGTTTTCATTATAGGGATAAATTCTGCCGCTTATTCTCTCTTCGCTCATAATTTTTATGAGATTTGACCCTCTTCCTTATTCTTACAAAAAATTTTCCCTGATTTTTTTAAATGAGGCAGAGTTTAGGAGCATTTATGTAACTTCACAAAGATCCATATCTGTGATTTTTGTATAACCTTCAAAACTGTAGTGGGATTGCCTGTCCCTATCCCTTTCCCCTCCTTTGATGGATCTTCTCTTTTCCTCATTGTGTGGCCCTGACCTGGAAGCCCAGGTGGGTCATTTTGGGAGGTTGCTAAGTGCTGGCCTGCTCCAGCCCTCAGGCTGTCTTGCCTCTGCCCCATGCACCCACTCAGCCTTGGGGAGTGGGAACCTTCCCAGATCAGCTGCTACCTCCAGTTGGCCCATTTTGCTTCCCAGTGAATACTTGTTGGGTCTTCTGTGGTCTCCTGTTCTCGGGTCGAGCAGGTGCCATTCTGTTGCTTCCTTCTTCCTTCACACAGACCCTGGTGCGGTGCAGAGTGTGTAGCTGTTGGTGGGTCCCCACGTGCCTGTATTTTCGGGCTTGCGTGGGTATCTGGTCATCAGATTCCGGAGTAAGTGCTGTCTGTGGCATGGGTTTTGCTCTCTAATTATTGTCTGCTCTCTGTGGGATTCAGAGAGATGGAAGAACTGCTTCCCTGCCACCACCCCCTGCCGAGAAGCTATTTAGAGAGTTAGTTCCCAAAAAACTGTGTGAACGAAGCTAGTGTAAAAGCAAGGATACAGTGATGTGGAAACCATCATTGTGATTAACTTATTTGCAGATCAGGCTTTCTTTTGCAGTTACTAGTAGTCTCATTTAAAATTCATGATGGGCCTGGCCAGTTTTGCTTATGGATAGAGCATTTGCCTGTGGACTAAAGGGTCCCAGGTTCAATTCTGGTCAAGGGCACATGCCTGGGTTGTGGGTTCAACCCCTAGTAGGGGGCGTGCAGGAGGTAGCCAATCAATGATTCTCATCATTGATGTTTCTATCTCTCCCTCTCCCTTCCTCTCTGAAATCAATAAAAATATATTTAATATTCATGATAGTATACATTCTGATACCCTTGTAACTAATTCAGTGGTTCTCAACCTTCCTAATGCCACAGCCCTTTAATACAGTTCCTCATGTTGTGGTGACCCCCAACCATAAAATTATTTTCGTTGCTACTTCATAACTGTCATTTTGCTACTGTTATGAATCGTAATGTAAATATCTGATATATAGGATGTATTTTCATTGTTACAAATTGAACATAATTAAAGCATAGTGATTAATCACAAAAACAATATGAAATTATATATGTGTTTTCCGATGGTCTTAGGCGACTCCCGTGAAAGGGTCGTTCGACCGTATTTATTTTTGGTTAATCCTCACCTGAGGATTTTTTTTTCCATTGATTTTTTTTCAGAGAGAGTGGAAGGAAGGGGAGAGACAGAGAGAAACATCGATGTGAGAGCTACATTAACTAGTTGCCTCCCACACGTGCCCCAACTGGGGCCAGAGATTGAGCCTGCAACCCAGGTGTGTGCCCTTGACTGGAATCAAATCCTCGACCCTTCAGTCCACCGGCCGATGCTCTAACCACGGAGTAACCCGCTAGGGCTTTGGAAGGTTTTAAACTATTGCCATACACACTCCCTGGTGCTTTGAAACTTGAGAATATTATCTTAGTTGCTCTTTCAGTCATCTTATTTAACATCTTGTTTTCGCATGATTGGCAAGTCTGGTTGAGAGAAGTTCAGGACTGAAACAGCACAAGTGTTGAAGGTCATAATCGAGGTTCATTGCCAGAGCTGTTGTAGAGAGCTTTTACAGACCTTAGTTCTAGCCTTCTCTTTTATGACCACAGTTTAAAGTAAATTATAGGTGCCTAGAAGCAAAGCAATAAAAAATGTAGCCATTTTTTAAACTTCTTTCAGATAAAAGCTGTAAGTTAATTTTTTTCATTTCCTAAAAAGCTTCCAATCTTGACATTCTCTGGGCAGATGTACAAAAAAAGTCAGAATACAAACAGTAAAACTGAACAAAGCCAACCAAACGAAACTCCCTGGTCATAAACCCCTCGCTCCCACTTCATCACTGTAATCAAGTCCATGCTGAAAGGAACAGATGAGGCTAACACCGAGCTTAAATTATTAAACAATTTTTAAAAATCAGCTGGAGCCCTATCAGCCTGTGGACTGAAGGGTCCCAGGTTCGATTCTGGTCAAGGGCACATGCCCAGGTTGCGGGCTCAATCCCCAGTAGGGGGCGTGCAGGAGGAGGCTGATCAATGATTCTCTTTCATTGATGTTTCTATCTCTCCCTCTCCCTTCCTCTCTGAAGTCAATAAAAATATTTTTTTTAAAAATCAACTGGAACAACAAATTCATAGAAATGACCCTTCACCATGACTTTTCTGTTGGGCAAAACTCTCATTTCAGGTTTAAGTCTAAAAAGATTGTTACCTAATCTTAGAAATTTTCATATTGACGAGAGGGAAAAGTCCTTCCAAGTTAACCTAGACCAACATATTTGAACTCTTTCTCTTTTTAATTTTTCTTAAATGACTGTTATGATGTTAACAGACAAACTGAGTATTTTTCTTGAGGATTAAAAACAAAACAAGCATAACTGACTTTTCGTGTATTGCTGATAATTTTTAAAGTATACGTGGGACCATATTGCTTTCTAATGAGACATCACTGAATAAACATCAATTACCTCTAGATGGTGTTCAGGAAGTGGCTTACATTCACTCAAACCAGAATGTGATTGGATCAAGCAAAGCTGAGAATCACATGAGCCGATGGGCAGCACGTGATGTATTTGAACTGAAGCAGTTTTCCCAGCTCCCTGCTAACATAGCTGTTTGCACGTCTAAGGTAAGAAGCATATAGCATAATGTCATCTTCAGTTTTTATCTCATTTTCACAGAAGTTAATAAGATCTTCACTGAGCAACCCCTCAAAAGTTGCTACTAAGATTATAAGTGACATACAAATAAGTGTCAAAAACAGAACATTACTTGGGGCACTGGAGTCACTGAAGATGTTTTATAGTAAAAGACAAATCAGTATCTAAATGTCTAAAATTATTGAGCTACTTAACCCCTTCCCCGGCAGAAACGTGTACACACGTTTTCACAAAATGTTCTTTTTTCAGTCGTCGACGAGTATACTCGTCTAAAACTTTACCTTCAAAAACCAGCTACATACGTACCATTCTAAATAATTTCATCTAGAAACTTTCTGAGGAAATACTATTCTTAACCACAAAAATGGGAAGAAAAAATAATTACAAACTGTTTCCATAACCAGCATCAAAAATACTATATAGAACCAAAATAAAAAAATTAGTCTGAAAAAGAAATGTTTTTAACAAAAAAATTGTTGGGGAAGGGGTTAATTGTTTCCCTCAATAAAAGTTTGCCAATCAATGAGGAATCTGAGGGAATCATGCAGTTAAATCAGAATCCAAACCAAATTTCCTCCAAAATTTTTCATCTAAATGAAGACACGCAAAAACTAGGTTCATATAGAATTTATTTATTTTTTTTAGTAAAAGGATTTTTATAATGTTAAAGGTAATAAAAAACTGTGGGCTCTTCTCGCTTAAAATTGATATTATATAGAAATAAAGTTTTATATAAATGTGAAATTTATTTACAGATAGTAACTTTCATCAAAGGTTTTAAAAATATTTTCTTCTTTTTGGCTTATTATCCTTTATTAATTCCTAAGAACTAAGTGTCTGAGGAGTAGTTTTTCTACCACTTTATGTGTAGGAGTTAAAAATGCATATTTTGTAAAACAGTGGTTTGTTTCAAGTTAGCATTACTTTTAAGAATGAAGGGCTAATGCCTCTGAACTGCCAAGGGACCTTCATTTATCTGTACCTCATCGGGCTCCTAAAATCATTTGGATTGTCTTAAGGATAACATCAGGATAGAAAGTGAAACTCGGGACCAAGGGAAATATAACTTAAATTGGAAGTTCAAGAGTGGGAGAAAGTTAGGATGTAGAAATATAGAACATAATGGTCTTACCCAGACATTTTTTTTAAGGACAAATTTAATTGCGTTGCCTGGTAGACAGAACAAAGCAAGTAAACAATTTATTTAGCGTGTTCTCTACTCCTGCACTTGGTCATGTGTGTGGGCAGTTTGGGTGGTCACAATCTGAGTGCCTGGCTGGCATTAGTGTCTGGAGGCCAGGGATGCTAAATGGCTGCGGTGGGAGGGGGACATCCCACTTGCCAACAATTGATTCGCCCAAAATGCCGTGACACCCTGCTGAGCAGCACTGAGCTAAATGCTGTCCTTAACGCAGAAAACACCAGCTCTTCTGAAGAGGAGAAGAGCTTTTCCCAGCATTTAATATAAAGGAAACTTGTCGCCGGGATTTTAAATGAAGACCACTGAGTGACCTAGTGAACAGTCCGTTGTCTTGAAATATCTTTCGGTAAATGTAATAGCAGACTTTGAAACGCGGTGCTTTTAGTATGTTAATGTAATCAAAAGGCCCAATGTCAAAATACAGTTTATGAGAACATTCTTTCATGACCCAAGTATGTTGCTTTTTTATATTGCCACTTGATCTAGAAATATATTGTCTCTCAACCAACACCGTAGACAGCATTTCTGCAGCCTGACTGCCCTGTAGGAGCTATCTGGGGAAGATAGGCAGAAGTATGCTGGGTTTGCCAGGCATCTGCTTTATTAGAATGAAGAGCATACTGGTATCTCTTAAATAGACAGCCAATTTTTTATTAGCTTTAAAAAAAAACCATTCCCTTTCCTAAACAAACAAATTTTAATGAGGAAAGGGTAAGAGAGCTGGCAAACCTCTGTAATAGCTGTTAATAAAATAACTGGATATTAGTTTCTAGTTTATTTAAATGTTTTTCAGAGAAGACATTTACAGGCATATAATTTCTCCCAAAATGTACCTGAGAAGCAACCCCTTAGATATGGAAGCAAGAAAAAGTCCCTTTGGAACCTTCTCAAGAAAAGTTGCAAAAATGAAAATGCTTCAAATACACTTTGTCTTTAGTGGCAGGAAATTTCTTTATCTTTGTATTCGCAATACCAGTAGTTTTCAACCTTTCTCAGCACCAACATTCTTGAGGTGAACAGCGCAGCCTCATCAGAAACCTTGTGTCTTCACAGTGGTACTTACGATGAGGGATATTTCTTACCAGGAAACAAATTGGAGTATTTATCCCCTAGGATTTCTCATATGCCCTTTGAGACCATGTATCTCCCCCTTGACACGTAGACCAATTTAGTACATCTTTTTCAAGGAATAGGGGGAAAAATGTGGTTTCATGACTAAATCATGGTTGGTGTAAAATATTCAGGCAAGTTTTAAAGCCAGTAAGCAGGGAGTCCAATCTCATGCCACCAGGGCTAGCAGGCAAGAACTGTCTGTTCAACATGCTCATTTCAGTGGCTGGCTTCTGTGCATCAAAACCTGATACAGTGAAATTCAACAGAACAAGATTCAATTCATCAGGTTTGACCTAGACCATTTAATACACCAGGTTATTAACATAGCTGTACTTTAACATCTTGAAAGTTATATTACCTACATACAAAAATACTCAGGGACAACGTTATAAACTTACCATTAAAAAGGTAAGATCTTACTTGACATTTGGTAATCAGAATTTTTAAAATAGTGATCATATATATTTGTGATGTTTTTAGGTTCTCACCAATGTCAAAACTAAAGCTACTGTATTTTTGACACAAAATATGCCTGAGACATACCTCGTGTTTTTCTCATTTTAGTTTAATTGAAAACAAGTAAGTAACTAAATATAATGAGTCTCATCTTCAATCTGATGAACTGTGCAGCCTCCCAGAGGCAGGAGGAGTTTGGCGGTTATCACTAGCCTGTGCATGGACCCCACTCGGAATGTCAGAGCCCGAATTCTGCTCTCCCTCATAACCTGGTGTGACCTGGAGGACGTTACTTACCTGCTCTGTGCCTCAATTTCCTGGTGTTTAAAATACAAACAATTATACTTCTTACCGCCGAAGGTTTTTATGAAAACTAAATGAACTAATACCTGTAAATGCTCTGAACAGTGCCTGACATGACATAGCACTCAATAAATAATAAGTACAGTAAAACCTTGAGATAATGGACTAATTTGGGCGAGGGGAAGTCCGTCAAAGCTGAAAATCCATTATATAATAACAATGACAAGTTAATTTACCTGTTTTTACTTATGCAGACATGTTTGTGTAATAAAAATTAAGTATGTATGAGAAGTTTAATTCCACTGGAAAGTTTTCTATATCTATTACAGTAACTTTACATTTCTACTGAACAGGTCTAGTAAATGTGTGAATTCATCAGTTACCTTGAAGTAAACACATACACTGGCTGGGGCGTGGCTTAGCTGCAGAAACACACCCCAGACAACAGAACCAATTCTCACATTCTAATCATTCCCCAACATTGCTTACCAGCGGTGACTCTTGGCTTTAAATATGTTGAGCATCATTGTAGATATGTAATATTTATGTTGGCAAAATTACTACCGTGTTTTTTCCAACATATGGCCTATTCGCTTAAAATTTGTTAAAAATAACAGTGAATTAATAACAAAAAAATAGCCTCTTAATTTAATTTTAAGAAAATCCTGGTTTAAAGCACTTTAAAATCAAGAGGTTGTTAATGTTCATATATGACAGACAAGCCGGAAATTTTGTCCATTAAATCCGAAGTCCGTTAAATCGAGGTCCACAAAATCGAGGGCTTACTCTTGTTAGTACTACCATTGGGTAAGACTGCTGTCCCCTTTTAACTCCCCTGGAGGCACTGATCCCTGAGGGAACCACAGGAATAATCCATAAATAGTTATAAGCAACTACATTTACCTATAAATAAAAGGTCGGGTGGTACTAGGAAATCTGGGGCTTTGGACTCCCTTAAGAAAACCACAAGAATGTTTGCCATGGCCAGTGTGGCTCCACTGGTTGGAGCATTGTCCCCATACACTACAAGGTGGTGGGTTCAATTCCTGTCAGGGCACATACCCAGGCTGTGGGTTCAGCCCCCGGTCCATTCATGTTTCTCTCTCTCCCCGTCCCCCTCTAAAATCAATTTAAAAAATGATTAAAACAAACAAAACTTAATAATGTTCATGGTAGAATATTTTTCCAAAATGTTATATGTGACTATTAAGTTTTTGCTTATGGAAATAGAAAGCCACTCAGTACTTTATAATTTATATTGATTTATTTTATTAGAGTCTATATTCGAATTAAAGTTATTAGTAATTTTTCTCTCTTTTTAAAATATATTTTATTGATTTTTTACAGAGAGGAAGGGAAAGGGATAGAGAGTTAGAAACATCGATGAGAGAGAAACATCGATCAGCTGCCTCTTGCACACCCCCTACTAGGGATGTGCCCACAACCAAGGTACATGCCCTTGACTGGAATCGAACCCGGGACCCTTGAATCTGCAGGCCAACGCTCTATCCACTGAGCCAAACCAGTTAGGGCAGTAATTTTTCTCTTTAAAGCCGATAGATTTATTTTCTCTTTAGATTCATCAGTTGATGGGACTGCCTCTAATTTAAGATATTTCCGTAGCTGCTGACAGACATTCCAATGAGGGAGGCATCACTGGCAGCAGACTACCTCTGCAATATCGTTACACATAGTAATCTTGGTCCTCCTCATTATAATTCTTCTGGAAACTAAATACTACTCAGTCATGTCAGGGAGATAGAACGAAGGTAGTGTTGTTTTTCTCTTTACTAAAATATTTGTAAAGACTTTTAAGATACTGCTATTTCACATAGATGAGATGTTGATGACATTTCAAAGCCACACCACAGAATTCTATCTAAGAAAAAAATGTGT